TGTGCATCTCTCACTTTCTTTCCATCTTTTCCCCTACAATTTGGTTAACCGGTCTTTTTCAGTTTCTGTACCAACAACCGACTTGCACATCCATATCTCTGAGTTTTTTTGTTACTCAAGATTTTAATGAATACGTACAAGAGAAGACCATGGAAGAACAAGTACACTTAAAGAGCTAATAACAAAATATTTTGCAGTGGTGGTTTATAACTTGGTTTGGTTTTACTTGATAATGAATCAACCGAACTAAAATTTTCAAATATAAACCGAATCATAATTTGTGACCAAAAATGTCCACTCAACTCTTAATTATGGGTCATGAGGATTGATCGACATCAGAGCCTTAGTGATGACGTGTGTTCGTTATAAATGATATGTCTATTCGTTCATTTTGTTGTCTTTTCAGACGATTCAAGTGACTTAATCGGTATCAAAACTCACTAGATCATTCAAATGTCCGGCATTTGACCAAAATGGAGAAAAAATAAGGACCCGAATGTATAACATAAACCAAGTTGGTTCGTATATACCAGATTCATTGTTTGCATAATTAGAGTGACATGACAAAGGGAACTCATATTCAGATTTTAGATACCAAGTTACGTCATATATTGATCCCAAGCTCTGACTTTTAATCTGTTCCCACAACTGGAATATAAATGAAATGAAACCCCGGATTATGAAATCTGACACCTTTACTCATAAATTCGGGAAATAACTTGTGTAAAACGCATGCACTCAGCAGAGATTCTTCGGTGTTTCTGAATCTCTTTAGTCTTTATCTTTTGATGGGGATGATAAGAGATGGTGTAGTGTTGCTGCTTGGATAACCGCACTTGGGTTTGTATCCTTTGGTGTGTGAGAAGGTGTCCGCCTTATGTTGAAACCTCTTTCTAAACTGGTTTGTCTGGAGCGCCGGAATGACCGTGGAAGATGTCTGATAAGCCGTGATGAAGTCACGAGTAATACAACACCTAGCATAATAAGTAACCTGCAAAAAGTTTCAAGAAATCTATAGTTCTGATGGCAAAATCTATTTGGAAAGATTTGTTGCAACTTCTGATTCATGTGTAAGTGATGTTTCTCTAATGACTGATAGAAGTTGTCTTAACTGGCACACTAACAATAAAGTAATGATTAGAACTTTACCATCCCAGGAGAAGTAAAAGCCGTCCAGATGGTGAAGTGGGTAATTTCTCACCCAGAGCAAACATTCCTGCAACCACACCTGTTACAATTGATGCCACAGCAGCGCAAGTGGATACTACGATTGCTCTCCCATGTTTTAATCCCCGAGTCTGTTAAAGTAAAAACAAAAATAAGACTAGAATCAAGGTTACTTAAAAACCCTGAATATCAACCTCTGAAAAAAACTACAGGTAGAGAGAGAATCCTTTATGCTATACACAATGGTGCATTACACATTCATATGCAGATAAGTAAGACTATGAGGAAGTGTAAAAGGACTAAGCTCGGACAAAGTACCTGGTAGAAAAATCCTGTTCCACTACAGCATATACTAATCGAAATGCACATGGGAATGAACATTGCAGAGAATCCCTGCTCCACGAATACAAAACCCATCTTTGATACTACAGATGCCATCCTGTGATCAAACGAGTTATAAACTATTGTCAGCTACACAACAAGTTAATAAAATCAGTTCATATATAGTTTTTCTCTGTTTGAAATGTTTCTGCAGACACACCAGTACATAGGTCCTTATATATTTTCTAAAATTAACAACACATGTTAATGGATACAGAGGAGATGACAGTAAGTATCAGAGGCTTGGCACATAAGACGAAAACGATATGCTCTTTGATGTTTATGGGTACCGAAAGATACCCGAATAAAATCCCAGATTCCAAGCCATAAATAATTTCTTCCACCACTTCATACTCCCCCTACAAACCAAAATTAGACTAAGTGCATTGGTAGGAGAAATGAAAGTCAGTAACATTAAAGGTGATACTAGTTCTTATAGCTCAAAATAAATTAGACAGCTAATATACCAGCTCCTGCTCCCTGCGCTGGCGTTTGAAGATATGAAGCCACGCATTTAGTAGTACCTAGTCCCAAAAATCCAACAAACAAGTTATTAGAAACATTGCCATTACCACACCAATTAAGTGATATACTGATATTATCTGATAAAAACAAAATATAAAACCAATTGTTTTACAGCTCAGACTTAGAAAAGATGTATTCAAGTCCAGAGAAGCCATCAGTCAACAGAAGATAAAAGGAGATTATGTCAAAAGAGGAAGACTTTTCTATGAAATACCAATACCATGGATGAAAGGTACCTACAAACAAGATGGCAACAACCAATGCTAGCCACAGCAACTGGAAGACCGATATTAATGATGCTTCTTGCTCCTCACCACCAGCACCAACTCCTACAGAAAATGTATAAATCCTCAACACATATTAGGTGATTTTCTGTATGCAGAAGATGATAGTAAGCAACAGTCAAAGAATCAATAATGATTGATGTTACCTATGGTCCCAATGCCGGCGACAGTAATCCCAATCCAGTCAAAAACATTCATGACTTCCTTCAAATAAAAATGCGAAAAGACGGAAAGAATGGCAAGTCCACATCCCGAGACTGGCTGAACAACAGACACCTGAAAGCATATTTCCAAGAGCTCATAATCAGGACCTAAGGTTAATCAGCACGGCAGATTATCATATACAGACATCTCAAAGGCAACTATCTTGACATCAAAATGAAAGATTGAGAAAGTTTACTTACAGGGGCAAGTGATAGTGCTCTCAGCATCAACAAAGCCCCAACAATGTCCATAATAAAACCTAACGCCCATGGTTTGTTAACAGCATATGCTCTTATCACCTGAAGGTTCGTAAATTATGATCAAATGTGAGTTTCCCATAGATAAATTGACCACCACCACCTCTAACTCATCACCATGATTGACATGAAAATTCAATGAAACATGGAATCGAGCCTCAGCAATAATTTGAATCAAACAATTTGACTCCGATCCAATTCCGAAACTCGAATTTCACAAATTTTCATCGAATTAGTTGTATCACGAAATCGAATTCAAATTTCCAGAAAGTTAGGTTAACGTTTTTTAGAGATCTGTCCAATCAAATAGCATGCAATCAAAATCCAAAGCATCAAAAGGGCGAGACAAAAGAGAAATTCAGAAGATTAGAGAGAGAGAGAGAGAGACCTTAAGCTTGAGGGAGAGAGGAGGGAGGATAATAGTGCCCTTCTTCTGGAGAACTTTGCCGATATTGTTGCCGGCGGTGGCCGCAAGCGTTAGGCAAATCGATTCCCACATCTCTCAAAACGCCGACGAGGAACGAAGCAAGCTTTTTTAATGGAGGAATGATTTTTGCTGATGTCTTACGTTATTATTTACATGCCCTCTTCCTATTTTTATTTATTTATTGACAGGTCGTGGTAAATGGAAATATAGTAATTTCCTTTTTTTATAGCAATTTTACTATTTTCACAAAAAAAAAGAAGCAATTTTATTATATGGTAAGTTGGTAACAAAACAATATTTATCTAATGACAACAAAAAAAAACAATATTGATCTCTATGCTTTCATTGACATTATTTTTATTATATTGTTGAATATATAATTAAAAATGCTGGCAAAAATATGATAACTAAATACTCCTAATTCTATAGCTAATTAAATTTTAGGTTTTGAGTTGGTAAATCGGTGCAAGACAGCTAATGGTGTTTACATGTCCATTTTTCACATGTCTAAAAATACAAGCTAATTCAATCTCTCTCTCTCTCTTTTTATTTTTATTTTTAATGTAACTACAAATGTTAAAGTGTAAAACATAGAAAAGGAAAGTTATGAAACATACTACATATAAATGTAAATGTAGACAGACAATCTAAACTTAAAAACATGTTTTGGCTATTCTCTTGCAAAAGACCAATATAAAAATATTTTTCCCTAAAAAAAAATAATAATAATAATAATATTTTTCCCATTTTTTTGTTGGTTCAACCCTTTATAGGCAGCTTCATCACATCTTGATATATGACTTGCGTATAAATTAATGGTTATAAGCATTTCGAATCCGATGGGTATTTAAATATTTTTGTTGGTTAGACTTAGAATAATACTTCATTTGATTAAATTATAACCAATTTAAACAAGTTCAACATTAAAAAAAAAATCAAAAATCAAAAACGTCGCAAAACATGCTTAGCTAACTCGTCCTGCCAAGGCATTAACACCGTCCCTTGCACTCAAAATTAACATAAAAATGGATAGTCTAGGAGACGATATATATTTTAAATTAATTTCGTTGTTATTTTCGGTTATCTAATTCATCTTGTTGATATATGAAGTGACTTGAAACAGAGTTGTGATATGGGAATAGTATGAATCTGCGTCTGCCACAAGTTTGTGAAGTTCAAAGAACTAATCAGTGGAAATTTTGACCTAACTTAGTTAACAAGTGGATAATCGATGAGAAACCAAACATATATAGTCTTTCAAGTGCAGACTCAGATCATAACCGACAAAGTAAGGTCTTAAGAATGACAAACACAAATAGAGAAATGGTCCCCAAATAAACAGAGTTATTGTCAGCTTTTCAAAAGCCCACTTTTTACTCGAGATCATATTAACCACAACAAGTAATCATTTTACCAACAGAAACTTGCTTTCTAAAATCTCAAGTTGGAGAGATCGTACAAACATGTTGAATTGTTAACCTCTAACATGGTACCTACGAATCATATAAACACATAAAATAAATTGCTAACGTTGAATAAAAGCAGAGCTTTAGATGCGAATGGATGATCACCAAAATGATGGAACATAATTTAAATCCAAGGAGTGAGATATATTGATTAATCACCAGATGTAATAAGCCAAACACCAAAGCCCAAATGTCAAAAGTCAAAACCTAATTGTAAACAAGAATGGATCATGTCATGAACTTGGATCAAACAAGAGACCGTTTCACAATCTATTTTGAACAAGACTTTAGGAAACTAATAATTTTAATCAAAGAGCATCAAACAAGAAAATTCCCCATCTAACCTAATTTCTGGATCCTGAGTGCAAAAGATTCATCCAAATTCCAAAGGTCATTTTACTTTGTGAAACTAATTGATATCATCACAGTTACATTCAAGATTACAAGATTACAACACTCAAAGATACATAAAAAGAGATAAAGAGAGAGACCACAATCATAATTACTTGAGATAATCAAAAATCAAAATAAAGAAAAACCAAAAAGCTCAAGAAATAAAAACAAAGTAAAATAAAATTATAGAAAAAGGTGAAAATGAATCACCACCAACCATAGACGACCTGTGTGTACCTCTGCTTAAGCCATCGGAAACTGTTTCTAAAAGAGCCTTTGACTTTACCTTCAACACCATACATCTTATAACTCGCGACCCGTTTCTTCCTCTGGAGCTCCGGGTCCGTTATTCCCCACGACTTGGATCTTGCTATCGATTTCTCCTTTTTCACATCGTATATATTGTTGTCCCTCGTCCCGTACGATGCGCTATAGCTCCTGAAATCTCCGGTTCCCGAAGCGCCGCCGTGGTAAGGCTGGATCTGCATCCCTCCGTCTCCGTATGGTCGTTGACGGCCGAAGTCTTCCATGGATTCCGGCAAGTTTGATCGAGAGAATCTTTTCTTTTTTGTTATTACAGCTCAGAGAATAATTGGAGAGAAAAGAGGAGAATAATAGTAACGCAAAAAAGGACGTGTCTTTTGAGCTGGTCTCAATTTGTTGCTCCACGCTATATGAATTATTTTATTTATTTCTGTAATTTAAAAAAAAAAAAAAAAGGAAGCAATTGGAGATAAGAAAAAGCAAAAAGAAAACCTGTTACAGATATTAAAACGCTAACGCGTTTGAAAAAATTTAATAATTAAGAAACAGAAGATAATAAAATGAGGATTAATATGTACGTTTTTTTACACATAAGGGGCTTATGAAAATTTAATAGAGTGTGAAATTTCAGACAAAATTAAGAATAATGGAAATAAATATGAAGTAGAAGTTTGTTTTGTGTGTGTAATTGACCGTTGACCGTTGATGTGCATTAGCGGTCAATGGGCAAGTTGTGTGTGATAATGTTAATTGATAGGCGTGATGTTTGTATTCACACATTTTCCTGGGAACGTGACTAGTGATTACCAACAGTAGTGTAAGACCATATATGGCATATATTATACTACACAACTTTAAGCAATGTCTTCATTTTCCACGAGCTATCATTTTCCCACATGAAAAAGTAGTTGATAGTTTTCTAAAATTAAAATATCAGAAAGTAAGTTGAAAAATTAATTTAAAAAAAAAACGAAATATTTATCATAGCTTAAGGTCCAAAACCAAAAACTGAAAAAAGTAAAGGTTACATGTGGAAATATTAAGGGGAAGAGATAATTAAATGTGTAACATGCAAATTGAAATTTTTAAGATATCTGGATGCAGCGAATGGTCTATTAGTTTCTTAGGCCTTTTACTAAGCCCAAGCCCACCAACTCCTTGACATTTCCGGTTGATTACTTAACCGGGAATATGGATATACCATATACCGAGAATTAAACTTAAACCAAATCGATTTGAAATCTTAAAAGAGAAGAATAAAATGATGAGATGACCACTTGACCAGCGTGGTTCTGATGTCGTCTCGGGCACTTGCGATGTGGGGTTGGGCGGCATATTCGTTCCCACCACGTGTCTCCTCAGGGGCTCTCCACGTGATTCCCACGCCGAAAGTGGAAAGAAAAACCGAGTTTGAGTATCAGAGAAGAATCTTAATAGTAATATTAAACTATATTGTTCTGTGGTCACTTATATATTCTTTTTTTTGATTTGATCAAACAATGCTAAATACACATCTGTGATTCTGCCTTCTGGATCTAACAATGCTAAGTACTGTCATTTTTCCCACGAATATTGCCTTCTGGATCTCTAACACCAACACCAAAGCAATATTGATAAATATATGATATATATCTCTTTGATTAGGATTTTAAAACATGTACAGACAAGAGAGAGAGAGCCTAACCATGTTCTGATTGCTAATCCGAAGAAATTATGGACTTTGGTTTGGAACTTTTTGATGATAGGAAAGAAAAAAGAGACATATTAACTTTCACTGCAGTAATTAAGAACCTGGCTATAGTGGCTTCTAGAGTTGGATTTCGATACAAGTTTTGATTTTTGTAGTCAACGAAACATTGATGAGTACATGACTAGTTTATTTATTCAGTAACCAATGGTAAACGGATAGTCTTTGATTAAGCTGATGAAGTCAATTGCAATGAAATTACAATTACTTAGTTTAATTTGTATAAATACGTTATTAGGTCTAAATGCATTTTAGTTTAAGTTTAACCATCTTTTAACTTTTGTTTCTTCTTTTTCCTTTTGTTGAGGCTTCAACTTCAAGCAACACCGAATCCATAATGGATCCAAATTAGAAGTCAAAGTGAGTATGTCCCTCAACATTTGATTCCCTTATCGTTCGATGATATACCATCAATTTCGGAGATGACATAAATATATATATACGCACATTTTAATATATATTTTGGAATTTCTATAATTTATTAAGGTTCCCTTTATATATATATTGTAATTTCCATTTACTTGTAAATTAAGTTGAAATATGCGAGTTATATAAGTAAATATCAAAAATGCATGCATAACCAAAAAAAAAAAGAGCAATACAGAAAAACAAAAGGGAAAACAAAAAAATAATTATGATTTATGGTTCAATTGTGTGTGTTTTGCCTAAAAAGGAAAGTTGTCAAGGAAGGACAACATATGCGCACTTCCATATTCGGAATTATCAGCTAAAATTTATAGTTTAATTTGTGGTGGTATATATCCTTCTTCTCCTCTGACAGAAAATAACTAATTTTCTTCTACTCTGATTGAACGCACCACCAATGCTGCAATTAATGCACTAATTGTCATCATCATTATATATTCGCGTTCTCGGCAGATCTCATCACCGTTATTTTTTCGTTTTCAAATGGAAACTTTTGAAATTAAGTAACAATGATGTGGCTTGTTCCAAATGGAACATTCTTATAGTTTTCGTTGTCATTATGTATTCTACTAATTCTAATTTCGGATGGTAATATAGAAAGATGATACTAGCTAGTGATGTTAAAAAAAGAAAAAGAAAAAAAGATGATATATACTTGTAGTATAAATTATTAGGGTATATGTTTAGTAATTAGTAGAAAGATTTTTGTAGTTATATTATAAGTTGTGGTGGTAATAGGACGAATTTAATTTGTGATGTTAGAAATCATACAATTTATAAAATGTATTTCGGAAAGCATGCATGCTTTAAGATGCTTTAGCGCCGTATTGGATATTTGGGTGTGACTGAACTTTTTCATGATGAGGCTCTGTTGATTTGTAATTGGTCGGTCCAATTTTTTGTTCCACTAATAGTTATGCTTTCTTTCAGAATTCTCAAATTAATCTATATCTATATGTTTTTAATATGAGAATTAAACATCATCCAATGTTCGTTCGACAAACTTCATCCATATGTTATTCCAAAGTTTTTGGATCATTAGTTATATATATGCGTTGTTAGTTGATACGTTGTTCACATTAACATTTGTTCATTTTGGGATATTCCGTAAGTAACTTGCCACCAAGAGCCTATTTTTAATCTTATGATTATATATATAAGGAATAAGGTTTATGTATAATGTATAAATAGATATTAGATATATATATGTATATATATATATATTAAGAGTATAATGTTGATTAGATATCTCATATCCGTCTAAATAAACGTGCAACACAGATAAAAAGACGATACTATTTGACGATTTATTTTGTGATTCGAATAAGCAAATTATGTTTGACAAAAATATTAATTATAATTAGCAAAAACAGACGACGCCTACGAAAAATCAAGTAGTAAATCAATCAGCATTTTAGTTGATAGTTGTTTAGACCCAAAAAAAAAGCAGAAAGTTGCAGTTCACGTGGTTAGAAAATGGAACAATCTTTATCAATAATTCATGAGAGAGATTTGAGTTTATCTCTTTATCAATTTTAACCCCAATATCTCTCCCCATTTGGCTATAAAAAGCCCCGACAGGTCTCAGTTTCTTCCCACATCCAAAGATAGAAAGATGTGTAAGGTCTAGCTAGAGTCTTGTTTTTAATCCCCTAATAGAACAATATAAATATATGTCTATATAGATATGGGTCGATATCGGTTGTTGCGGACTAGCTAAGATCTTCGAGCCTGGTCACATGCGTAGAGTATGAAAGGTAAGAGGAGGTGACAGAAGAGAGTGAGCACACATGGTGGTTTCTTGCATGCTTTTTTAAAATTAGGGTTTCATGCTTGAAGCTATGTGTGCTTACTCTCTCTCTGTCACCCCTTCTCTCTGTCTCTCTCTCTTTTTAAATTACAAGGTTAACTATAGCGGGTAAAAGATCTCTGATTTGGTTTGATATATTTGAGGTTTATATTATAATCAAACGGATCAAAGTAGCTAGCTCGAAGGTATGGCTGTATGAGTAGTATATATGCAACTTTTGTTTTAATTGTTTAACTATTATTTCGTTACATCAAAAATATTATATTTTGTTTAATATCAAATATTTTGCTCTGAGTTGTATACGTTTTAACTCGGTACTATACTGTATATATGAATAAAGTACTCTTAACATTTTATTCATGCAGATTGCAGGGTTTAAGCAACAATAGAATTTTGGGGGAAAAGTAGATCTACTTGTGGACGATGAAGCAAAGAAAAATCAATTTGTGATTGTTTTCAAACACAGTTAAAATTAGCTACTATGTGTCTCCTATAAGCATATATATGATTATTTAAAATTAATGACTATTTTTTACCTCCTAAAAGAAACATGTTCATTTTTTTAATCAAGATGTTGGAGTAATTATGTTAATCGATCTCTATGCAGTTAGATTTATGAATCTGCCTATCATATTAGATTTAGAAGAATGTGGCTAAATAGGTATTTTTGGTGTACTAATTACATAGTGTGATAAATATTTTTTAGTCATTATATTGGAGATTTTAAACCTAAACTTTGAGGAGTATGTTTTAAGTATGATATTTGGTTGATTAAGTTTTTCTACAAATGAATCTTTACTTGAGAATCCGATATATACAAGTTCTTTGTATGACGTGGACGACGGTTGAGAAATTAGGGTTTAGACAAAAAAAAAAAAAAAAAAAAAAAACTCTTTTCTAGTTCTTTGTATGTACAAGTTCATGCAGGATGACAGCTTACGGAAGTTTGTAGATGGTGAACAAAATTTGTTGATGAATGATGGTCGAGTTCACATATGCGCGAAAGACAGATTTTGATATAAACGTGATCTACATGTATATACTTTTAAGTTGTAAATTGTCACATAGGTTAGTGCATGCTAAAACTTGTTCATATACGATTATGTTAAAATAAAATATTTACTTCAATTTAATTTCCTGCAAAACTATAATCCACAAAAAGTCTACAATAATTCTATTGACCGGCCACCTCAATCACAAAATAAATCAGTTTTAACTTTTAACATAATTTATAGAAATTGTGACTAAAATACCAGTCTGATATACGCCTGAAGCTCCCATCTCTTCCTTGCAATTTTGTAGGCGAAATCCAAAGATGTTTCGTCAACTTTCTCAATAACTCAAGAAAATACTCAAATTTTCAGATG